CTATTCGATAAGAGGGGTGCGTTAGTGAATTTTATTGACAATCACAGCGTAATCAACTTAAAATCTTACCTCCTTGTAAGTGAGATAGCCATCGTTCTCTCATCTGCTTGCCGTTCCGAGTAGGATGGTGTTTAGAGTTCGTTTCCCAGTTACTTGGGCCAAGTCTGCCTACTATGTCCAAAAGTATTTCATCCTCCTATAATCCCATTGGGAATGTAACGATAATAAAATAAATAAGACAAATCATTGATATATTGAATAGGACTCCAAAGTATACTGCATGTCACATTTACCTCAACAGTCCAGTGTCCCTGTTTTAGTCCCGGCTTTGCTTTAGGCTTACAATTGTTATTGCAAACTGTATCACAATCTTCCGGCTTTATTTCCTCCTAAATCCATTAAAATACATCAAATAGTAAGATATAGAACGAATTGTTTAAGACACCAGAGAAGAGTTGTATGTGTATTTACCATCTTATGATAGTTTTTAGGAACCATCAGTGGCTTCCAAGGGTTGGACTCTTCAATTCTCTTGCGTGAACGATTAGATTTCTTTCCAGTAACTTTGCACATGGTTGCTAATTGTAAGAGCAGGTTGTAATCTAAGATGAGTAATGTATTACTATTGTTATTATTTCTTTGATCCTCAATGATTGAGTGCTGATCAGTATCATCCTGCCGTTGAATTTATAGCTTTTCGCAGGAAACGCAATTTTTTTTTTCAATATAAATTACTTCTAATGGATATCATTATTGTAATAATTCTTACCGAAAAGGGCAAACGGTTGAATAGAGTGAGTGCGTTTAGGGGTAAAAATATGCAACAAATAAGTAAATAATGAAAGTAATATTCGAGCCGGTAGAAGGCATGCATACAAACATGGATCATCATTGTTTGTACGTGACTGCTCGCGTGACAGCAAATTATATATATTTGGAACAGCATATAAGTGTTCTCGTGAGCAAACGTTTATTCATTGGAAATAAACAACGCTGCGGTCGACCAGATGTCTTCAACTGCCGGGATTGGGACTGGGACTAGGACTGGGATTGGGACTTGAGGAATTTTCTTTGTAATCATCATCCCTGACATGGCTTTGCGAAAGCGAAACGATGTAGCCAAGAAAAGTTAGCCAAATCTTATTTTTTTCAGCCTCATTACAGTCTTCTGCTTGTTAATTTGTCAAGATGCACGTTCATTGGACAGGAGACGGGAATGTATTGGCATTCAATTTTTTACCAAATATAGTATCTAGGCTCAACGAACTTGATGCATAAACATTTCTACCGGGAATTTTCGGGACATTACCTAAGACATCGTGTAATGTTTTCATGTCTTTCTTCTTTTTTCCTTTTTGGATAGTATGTACTGTGGCCAATGGACATTTAACATGTATTGGCTGTAATGTACCAATAAAGTTTATACATTCTAGAGATGATTTTTTCCACGAAATAAATGTCCGCTTTTGTTGACTCCGTACACATTCGTATGCTCTAATTGATGCAATTGTCTTGAATTGCAATGCATTGCGTCTTCATAAATGTATAGACTTATATGCCAGTCTACGGTAATACTGCTGCCACGTTGTGAGGTCGTACAATTAATCAGATGATCGGATCACACATTAGATCGTATTTAAGATGATCATATTAAGAAATGCCCATTAGGACGGGAAAGTGATATTTACCGTCGATCTCGCATGTGACTGAATGGCCATTGTCTAATTAGTACACGTACAAGTTAACAGTTGGTCCATATTCAAGTTTGTCGTTACCCAAACAGACCGTTCCAAGTATTCACGAATGGAAAGTTGTTTGGGTTCTTCTTTTACTACTCATTTACAAGAAAATACGCTGAATAAACTTCCAATTTTAACCACAATTAATATTGTATAAATTGGGTAATAAAACAAAGAAAGTATAAAAAACATTAGGTTACAGTAAACACCAATGGTTATAACCAATAATCCCATGATCCAATTGTTGTGCATCTATTATTATCACCAGTTCGTTGTTCGTTGTTGTTGTTAATAACATAATAATTAATTCAAACGGAAGACTAGTCCCGATAATGCCCAATGCCGATCCATCACAAGACGGAAGTCTAGACACTGGACAGCGACAACACAGCTTTATCGCATCAAGTGTTATATTCTACTGAAGAACTCTCTCGATATCCAACAGGCACCTGACTTTGTGCGACAGAGAGCTAAAAGGCTCGGATACTGATATCAGTAGAACTAGTACTAGAGCATTAATGCTCACGGGCGAATTCCACGCAAACCATCTGCACAGCATTCGTTAAACAAACATCTTTGCTATCAACAATCGTAATGCACCAAGAGAGATTACCCTGCTACGAAGGCCGATTGCATTACTTGATAGACACCGATTTGCGCTCGTATATCATTAGCGATTAATGATTATGGCAACGCTGAATCTTGACCCTCGATAACAAAATGACTTTGAGAAGAAAAAGTGATATAATGGGAATCGGCTCAAGAATGCTTGAAATAAAACCCTCGAAATTGACATACCATGCACTTGTTGTCTAACAGTCAATATGATTTGGCATGATTAATTTTTACCATAGTCTGCCTGGTCCAACTTTACCGTATTGGAAACAGACAATGTCCAAACTGGCACTTCACAAACCGGATGATAATCTTGGTAAAGCATTAGAAATCCAACCGGAAAAAGAGTACCGAAATTATCTAACGAAGAGAGGTATAACTGATTTGAACAGAGGCAATTGAGAATGCATGAATCGTTCAGTTCGGAGGGCAGAAACATGTCATAAGAAATGCGCTACTAACTTACGTTAGCATTGAATATTAGATGTCAAGGATATCAAGAACTAGATCGATTGGGCGAGACACATGCCAATACAGACCTTTATGATTACTGTCGGAGAAATGTTTAATAGGCTGACCTGTGAACGCTTATCTTATACAATCCAATACAATAGTTATACCAAAAGGCAGTAGACTGTGATGCGGACTCTCTTTTTTTAGTGTTCTCAAGTATTTCACAAGTAGTCTTTTTTTTTATTCTAAATTTCTTGTACAAGAGGTATGACACATCGCTGATACCTCAGAGTTCTACATCAAACTCCAGATTAATTCGGACATGTATCCGAAAGTCCTTGATTCAACCAACGCACAGCGTTCGTTATTATTAAAACATTATACGCGGTTAAGGAATGCTGAGATAACAAACAAACAAACATGTCTATTACTAACGCAGTCATACAGTTGAAATAGTACGCGTGAATTGAATTGTTCATTCTTAATTGTTCAAATTATTCATAGTCGTACACATAGCCATCATCCCCATCATGAAGTAATGTAACTGTAGAAACGTATATGTTAGTGAAATGTACTACAAGTATGAGTTACTCGACATTGCCATTTTTCACAAATTTCGTCAACATACCACTACTAAATTCTTCAAACGGGTTCTCCCCCTCCGTTGGCGTAATAATAGTATCTCTGTCGATATCTATGCTACTTGAATCTTGAATATTTCTAAAGTTGACTGCATCAGCACCATGTCCTTGTTGTGGGATTATTGGAGGTTGACAATGTCGAAGAAGAGCCCATTGGGTGTTCTTAAAAAATGGATGAGCCTTGACATCAGACGCTCCTGCCCTAGAGCCAAGTCGACGATTCTCATCCTTACATAGAAGCTTGCGTATCAATGATTTACATAGACTATATTGGTTTCGTAAGAATGGGGCGTTAGCAATCACGGAAAAAAGTGTTGGCGATGATAAGCTACCTATCTGTCATTTACTCGATTTCTACCTTGAAATTTGTTGATATCCTCCATGCTCAGGGAACATGACCTCATTTCGCATTATGTTTACGAACGTGACATCTCGAGTCGCACCCTTGAACGGTGTGAAACCGTACTGAATATAAAAAAATTCACGTAATTTGACCAGTTAATTGCTTGAGTCGAAATCTGATTGTGAATACTATATAAAAGGATGATTTACCAGCATTTCATATATTAAAATACCCAACGTCCACCAATCCACTGCACTCGTATGGCCACAACCTTCAATAACTAGAACAGGAAAATAAATGTAGTGTACTGATGTGTCAGATAATAACAGCATGATTTCCTATACACACCTTCCGGAGCAATGTATTCTGTCATAACATTAGATTACAGACTGCATTAGTCACATACAATTTCTTTTACTATTATATTTGATGCACATAACAAGGAATTCCCATCCAACTGACCTTCTGTTCCGACAAAAGAGTTTGTTCGCAGATTAGCAATACACGACTTTGTGTCTATTGAAGGCGGCTAATTTACGATAGAATAACAGATTAAGCGGTTAGAATTAATGATCAATTAACTGCCAATGTGTCATGATGCAAACTTTAGTTACCAAATTGGCCGGGCCTCCTTTTACAATGCCCGGCATATTTGCCGGATGCGATTGTTTAGATAGATCAAAATCTGATAACATTATATGCCCCGATTGGTGTAACAATATGTCTAGGATAATTCGTACCGCATACAGATTAGTAATCAAATCGGGTGTCTCGTTAATAGAGCATCGACCGACTCACTTTCAGGCTTAAGATCTCTGTATATGAAGCCCATTAGATGCAAATATTCTAACGCTGCAATGACTTCAGCTGCATAGAATTTGGCGTCTTGCTCAAGTAGACATTTTCCTGGACGAGACTGTAATGCTATTTTGAAAGTATCAGAAAAAGCGTGGTGAGTTACGACGAACGTGTAATATTTATACTACAATCAACATGTCAAAATTTTAGATTCACCTCTAAAAAACTCGCCGCCCATGCAATATTCCATACATAAATACAAATATTCTTCACTCTGAAACGAATGATATAACGGTACAATGAACGGATGATTCAGAGTTGACAGAATTTCCTATTTAAAAGACGAGTTGTAGAATAATACGATGTTAACGATACAAGAACCTGACGACGACGATGACAATAGAATCATTATTATTATAGTAAACGTATTCAATATGTTATCAAAACAAGCATCCATATTTCATTCTATAGTATATTGCACTTTTAACGTAAAATCACTCAATCAACCTATGATGTCCCATCTCCTACTAAACGAAACGTAACTCCACTTGGCTCGGACACTAATACTGACATAATAATCTTGATGACCATTCTCACCTGTTCGGCAAGTGCTCGTTTGATCTTCTTCCGTTTGATCATTTCCTTCTTTGAGAGAACTGACGTCAAAAAAAAAAGTAAAAATCAGGTTAATGACTAATCAGATTAAAATTTGATTCATTTGAACGAGCCATAAAACCACACTCGAAGTTACTAATTAATCAATCGGTCGGTCAGTCAGTAGTCAGTCACCTTTCCTCCCTTTAAATAGCATTCATCCTTTACCTTTCATTGCAAATAACTTATGCGACTTCTTCTCGCTCACCAAATAAACCTTTCCAACATCGCCTTTTCCAAGTAGCTTTATTTTATGAAAACTATTCGGCCCAACTTCTACGCTTCGTATCTTTATCGAATTCGATGAATACGTTCTTTTAAATATGCTCGCTCTTTTGACTACTTTTTCTGCTGGCATACTAATATCGTGCGCCATTCTATTGTCATTTTGATTGTTACTACTGTAACCTTCGCTAGGTGTATTATCTTGACCACTCTGTGTATTACTATCTACATTTGTGCTTTCAGACGATTCAACAGCTTTAGTGTTTGGAGCAGATGCAACTCGCCTTAGTTTCTGGTTATGCTTTGGTTCTTTAAGAAACCATGGCCCAAGAGTTCTGCTCTTTTCCGGATGTTGATGGTTGGAGCGACTCGATGTACCATTAACACTTCTGCTTCCTGATATCCTCTCTGGTGCCGATGAGGCTAGTGAAGTAGTTGACTCCATAGGATCTTTCTTATGTCCAGAAGTACTTAATCGGAATATTGATCTCAATTTAGATGGGAATTGTGATACGTGCGATGGTGCAGGTGATGTGATAACTGAAGAACGGGATGAGTGAGCGGTTGAGGAAGAAAAGGGGTACTCAGCCAGCATTTGATTTTCAGCAAGTCAGTGGTGATGTCTAAGAGGTTAGGCGTGCTGTGATATAGTCTGGGAGAATAAAACGGTTGCAAAGACAGGAAATCAGTGAGCTCTGAGAAGATAATAAAATAGATGACATGAGCGTGTGTGATTTCCTTCCTACTTGTACTTTACCTTCCTCACCTCTAGCTACTATTGTTGTTGCTGTAGCTGTTGCGTGTCGCTATTGTCGTAGCTATAGCTGTAGGTGTAATTTGTAACTGTTGCCGTCGATGCCGATGCTGTGGCAGATTTTTCTTGTATTTTGATTTAACTGCTTCTCGATGTCCGTTAAAATAGGATGGTGCATTCCAACAATGTACAGATTTATACAATAGAATATACACAAGTTCTCATAGAGAAAAAGAACTTTGATGGATTAATTGGGGGTTTTGTTCTAGCAAAATGGTTATTTTTAATGATTTAAAGAGGAGTTGGTTATTTTGGAGTAGAAGTTGCGTCAATCCTGCAATTGCTCAGTGATCTCTTGCGGCAAAGTGCTAACAGAACGAATATGAGAGCAATTATAGAAAGAATGAATGGAAGCGAACGTGCAGCGGAGTGGTAAAAACAGGATAAATGTAGGAAAGCAAGTCGATGTTGTAAGTTGTCGTCGTAAGTTGTCGAGCTATTACTATGCTATGGGGGCAATCGTAAATAGCAGAACAGATAGACACTAGTACTAGTAATGATTGGATGGCCATGCAGCTGGAAGTTACACATCTCATGGTTGATTTGCTATTTCTGATTGCAGAATCGGAACATAAATCCCCCCTTCGTGAAACAAAACACGATTCATTCGATGGACTTTTTTTTAAAAAAATCGATGAGCATCACGAGAAAAGACGTTGAGCATGCTCTACTATTGTTTGCTTTGTGACCTTGCCTGTCGGCCTCCATGTATCATCTGTTTCATCATCACAAAAATTCGTAGACATCGTAAGCGGTTGGAATAAATTTATATTTACTCGCCGATACCTTTTTATTTTTATTGTTGCATATATTTTGTTTAATGTTACAATAAACATTATTAAGACGTGTAGAAGATTCGCCAAATGCAACTGCTCGTTACCGTGTAAATATTAATATATCCTGTGCTTAACCTGGATGCATAGTGGTCACTAATAAATCAAGATGTACACCTGACAATCTAGATTACGTTATGTTGTGTATGCTCGGACTGGAAGATTAAAGAAAATTCCTCACGAGTCATTTAATTAATAGATTTCTGATCACTCGTTTATTGAAAGATTAGATTAGACTGATAGATAAGATCGTGCAAATCAAATCAAAGATTACGCAGCGTACTCAAGACGTTCAGTACGTGCTTCTCCGGTCACCATTCCGAAATAATAATGTCCCTTAATATTAAGGTTTTCCTTGTTGAGGTATGTTCCAAATTGGCGAATGTAAATCACTATAAATCACGTGTATCAATTCTGATAGTATACATAGTTAATCCCGTTAAACCGGGAACATAGGTGGGAAATGCTATTAAAGTTATCAAAAATAGACAATAAAGCTTGACTGATTTGTAAACAAACAACCATACGAGATTGCCCTGTAACACGATTTGCTGAATTGGCAGAGCATATGTTATGATCGATTTCCCGACAACTCTTTAAGGATTCAATAACATACCATATCTTTCTGATTTGCAGAGATGACCTTAGCATTATCTACTAATGCAGTATCAATTGTTGCCTTACCAACACGCCCATCGGAAATATCCTTCCTTGTCAGTATCTTTCAAGAACTATAGGATTTTCATTCAACCCGTTTAATTAATAATACCAAGGTAGCTACTATTGACAATGTAACTAATTTATGGGAAAGATGCCTTCAAATTATGATCGCAACTGGCTCACCAGTTCAACAAAATTTTTATTTGAAGCTACATGATAATTTCAAGAGAGAAAACCCAAACTTTATGTTAAGGCTGAAGCTCGACTTTACAGCAATATCTAAAAACAGCGCATTGGCATAAATGGTTTGACGATAATTGAGAGCTCAAAAAGGTCTATGTATTTTGCACATTGCACGTTTGTTAAGACAGATATCACATGAACCTATCAAATTCTAAATGCACACCCTCTACAAAATGAACGCTTTACGGATTTATTCCTGCTCGAGTTAAAAGTTCATTATTATTATACTGTACATACAGTATGTGTCATGGCATTGGTTTAACAATTGTGACAGAATATTAAAATTCTATTATATCGAACATCGTTAATAACTACACCGTTTGTATAATATTAAAGTTTTCGCTAATATGGCGCGATATTACAAAACAGTGTCAGCACATGAAATTATGCCAAGGAAATAATTTTGAATGTGGTATCATCTTCACAACTACCGTATAGCACTGGTTATAATGCCCCCTTGTTTAGTACTGGATCTTATACCAGTCCGTTCTACAACTATGAAGTATATAATTAATATTGCTGTAAATCGCTTATGAAAGATATATTTATTTCAAAACATTGATGTTAAGACTGATTTCTGAACACGTCTATTAATCATCATCCCAATTGTTGACAAAATCTATCGTATAATCATTTTCAATCTCTAACATCAACATTATTTGAATTATAAGATCATTGCTGGTACTGTGCATAATCAAGATTATCTTATTGATATCCCGCAGCAATTTTTATCATATTAAAGAGAATGCTAAAAGTATACAAAGTTCTCTTTTTAAATTAATTCCCTAATGTACCACCTGGTATAGTATCCCCAGAACCAGTGCTATACGGTATTTAATAGTAATTAGTATTCCATCACCTTAATAACGCATGTAAGTTGGCGAAATGTGATGTCTATAAACGTACTTTGATAGCATCAACAATTGCTGAAATTAAGAGAACCTTTAAAGCGATTATAAGTGCCATTACCCCCAATCGTACCTAAGCCTATCGAATCAATCCCCATCGATAGGAGTAGAGGCAGTCACTGCATAACGAACGTAAGAGTCGTTAGTATAGAAATCAAAACTAAGGTTAATTATAAGTTTAGCAGAGTAGAGGTATTGCCAGCCTCGTTTGAAGAAGTTAAATCTCAAGGTTAAACACCAAGAACAAGGCCTGCGTCACGTGTATAAAATTAAAACACACAGATAGCGCATTTTTAATAATTCCGCCATTTTAGGATAAACAAAGACAGCGATGTTTCTCATTGAATTTCATTCTGACTCCAAGACAAAGAAATCAGAGGTGCTCGATGTCAGAAGAGACGCCATCAGCAACTAACGCTAAGAAATATCAGCGTGAGGTTCTAATCCCGATAGAGTACTGGCCAACTGTATTAATCAAAAAGATATTCGATAATGCCATAATAATAATGATATCAATATTTGCATAGCTAAATACATAGCAATAGAGACAACTCTATATCACTATCCCATAACTTTCTAGCCAAACCTATGTTTGCTGATGTGTTCGCCTCATATTAAATTCACGCCATTGTGTGTAGAACGTCTCCCAACATGGGGAGATCTAATATTGGTTTGGGACAATTCTGATTAAAAATTAGGTGGTGGCACAAATGTCGTAATGTCGATCAGATTCCCTTTTAGTACTTGTAGAATGAATAAAAGTCGATGCGCCTCGGAACAACAGGACGAACTCAATTTAACGCACGGAATCAAAAGACAATTGAGCCTTGGTAAACAAATAGATATATTACATACAAAAAACTTCTCCAAGCATTAATTAACGCCGACTGAATAGCTTTCAGCGACTATTATCTACAATACAATGCCGTCAGATTCACCCATATCGATCGATGTGAAGGCGTACCTTCAAGTAAAAGACACTAATCCACCAGACTATTCGGATCTCCAGAAACTCCCATTCGGTAAGAAATTCAATATGGATTTTATGCGCAAATCAACTCATCCGTCCCGCGCAAAGGGAGAACAGGAATATAAACAAGGAAACTATGCAAATGCAATCGATTATCTCTCAGAAGCACTCGAACACAACAGAAACAGCTACACTACCCTTTGCAACAGAGCAATGGCACACGCTGCAACGAAAAACTTGGCTGCTGCGTTCGACGACTTGAACGTTGCAATCGCTATGAGGCCAAATGAATCGCGAGCCCTTTTGCTTGCAGGAGAATATTGCCGCATTGCTCATATGTACCAGACCGCATTACGTTGTCTGAATAAAGCATTAGAATTTGACCTGTTTAGTAAACATTTATGGAATAGTAGAGGCGCAACTTACTATGCATTAGGTAAACACCAGAAAGCAACTGACGATTTCAACCGAGCTCTCGTACTCAAACTATCCGACAAGTTTGCGCTGAGGAAATTAGCTGAAATGAATCAGAGTATTGGGTCATATTCGGTTGCAATATCTAATTTTAACAAGCTCCTTGCAGTTGATCCAGATAATAATCGAGCACTTTACCTACGAGGAGACTGTTTATCAAAATCTGGACAATTGCAAGCGGCGCTGGCCGATTTTAACAAAGCACTCTCGTCCAATCCGAACGACATCAAGACCTTGTTTAGTAGAGGGAGCGCATACAAAACACTCGCACTTTATCCGCAGTCACTGGACGATTTTAATCTCATCCTACAATTAGACAATAATAACTCGCATGCTCTAAGAGCGCGTGCCGACGCATATAGACTAATGGGCAGAAACACCGAGGCGCTGAATGATCTAAACACTGCGTTGGAAGTAGGCACAGACCATGCAGAAGTATTGTTTGAGAGAGGCAGATTGTACAAAGAAATGAAAAAATACGACTTGGCGGTCAAAGACCTGCGTAATGCCATCGTTGAAAACCCCAAACACTCCCGTGCATTAGCTCATCTAGGGGACACATATAGGTTTCTAGGCGAGGTCGATGTGGCGCTTTCCCATCTCAACAAGGCAATCGAACTGAATCCAAGTGACACGTTTGCGTTAAGTAGACGAGGAGACTTGTATCGAATGACTGGAAAAGATGACTTGGCATTAACCGATCTTAACAACTGTTTCACCATTCAATCAAATGACGCGTTTGCACTCAGATCACGTGGGGCATATTACAAAAATCATAACCAACCGGACATTGCTCTCTCTGATTTCACACGTGCGTTGGAATTGGAACCAAACGATGCATACGCATTAAGAAACAGAGGCGATATATACAGACGATTGCAACTGTATGACAAAGCGTTTGCAGATTTGAGTCTATCATTAGAAATAGAACCAAATAACAATTTTGCACTTGTTGTATTTGGATCCGTCTGTTGCACATTGAAGAAATATTCTTTGGCCATGAAACATCTGACTCAGGCTATCAAGAATGATTCAACGAATTCGTTGGCTTATACTTACAGAGGAGAAGCGTATTGCCTATTAGGGAGTTTTGACGAGGCATTGACAGACCTGAATAGAGCATTGGAAATCAATCCTACAAATGTCTATGCATTGACCATAAAGGGAGATCTTTACACTGAACTTGACACGTATGAGAAGGCGTTGGAATGCTACTACGCAGTATTGAAGTTGAGGCCAAATGATGCCTATGCATCACAATCAGTTGACAAAGTTAAATTGTTACAAATACAGGAAAAGAACTTGGGCATAAGAGAGACGAATGGCATAGCGGAAGAAGTTACCGAAAGGGCTAATGTAAAGGCAAATAAGAACGTTGGTGCGAAAGCGGGCACGCGTAGTGTTGAGAATTTTGTTGCAGATGCGGGCGAGACTGTGGTTAAGAGTGTGGGCAAGACTGTGGATGAGAGCATGGGCGCGAACGTGGATGACAGCGTGGTTGGGAGTGTAGACAAGACAGTGGTTGAGACTGTCGGTGTGAATGCAAGTGAGAATCTGGGCGAGAATCTGGGCGAGAATCTGGGCGAGAATCTGGGCGAGAGTATGGACAATAGGCTTGTCAATAATGGGGAGATAACGAACATTACATCCATGGCCGAGTGATCAGAAACTGCCAGGGTGATCGCGGGAGTGAAATGTAAAGATCCTAATGAATCAAATGACGGACTTGAGATGAGAAGAATGTTCTTCTTGTTATAATTACCGATCTGTGCATTTTATTAAATACGATTGTATACTTATTGTGTTTTTATGCATTTATTATTATCGCATTCATTATCACACGGGTTTTATGCATTGAAAACTATATAGTTATTCATGATAAGAAGACGTGCTATGAAAAGGTTTAAATAGTAATAATTCTATTATCATCATATATTATACGCATGTGTGTCCGCACTTTTATATTATGTAGTAAAAACTACAGATCAGTCTATAGGATCAATATTAATTAATAAGCCTCTCAACTACATCAACTGATCGTTAATAAAATATCGGATATTTCAACTCAATTATCTATTAGCTATTCCATTTTAACGACTCATTCAGTTTTATGACTCTTTCCATTAGCCGAATGGCCAGTCGCTGGCACTTTTCCACCAGTCCCTTTGTATGTCTTTTTAAAGAACTGAATGAACAAAAGTAAATAGCTGCTAAGCAAAACACACCCAAAGACGGCAGCATACGAATGTCCAGCACATGATCCTGAGTTTGGCATCCACGGGAAGTACCTTTCACTAAAGTAGGTATAGGTGCAGAAATAAACAAAGACCAAGTCGGCTATGAATTGGCCAATTTGCATCGATGTTAGGTATTTCTTCCACCAGATGCGTGCTCCACCAGCTGCTCGGTAATAGTAATAATACATGAATACATGAACCATGAGGTTGAGTGTGATTGGAACCCATGACTGAAGAAGAGAAAAATTGCACATTGGGATGTGAGTGATGCAACCTGCGTCAAATTGAAAGCATACGTTCAAACATTCGACAATACACATACCACTGACGTACGCCCAATAAGTTGAGAAAAGCAAAGAGCCGCTGTCATGCTATGATGATACCAATGAAGGAATTCTAATATAAATGCCAACAGAAAATTAGTAAGACTACGGTTCGCTAGCCTCATCGTCACGTCACAAGGAATATACTTACCAAGTTGCTTTTTCCTAAGGACCAAGAACATGGTATCAAGAAATTCCCAGTACTTGACCAAATTATTCAAATAGTACAGCAGTTCTAATTTCTGGGTCCAGGCACCATTATCGCATATAGCGTAGAACAGCCCATTATTGTAGAGAATAGGAAACAGTTGTTCTACAAACAACAACAGAAGCGCAAGCGAAACTATCGTCAGAGCAAGATTATGCAACTGGAACAAAGCCTTTGCTTTGATCTCGTGAACATTCTTCATCAAAGACTGTCCTCCAAGTATTAATGCATAATAAGCGATGCATGCAAGACTGACTTCACCGAAAGTAGATAATGGAGTGACGCCAGATATAAATCGAAAATCGGCAGGATCATTTCCAGTAACAAACTCGTATGATTTTGCAAAGTAGTCATAAAGATAGATGCCAAACGGACGCTCGGTCGTTATGCCAAATGACGATGTCATGTTTTGATTCTGGATACTGAGAATTTAGAAGAGCTCTCGTAAAAAAAATGAGTTCAAAGATAGAAATGGCGGGTGTCCATGGAAAATAAATTAAATTTTGGGACACACAAAACAAATGCGGTGTGACTGACAAGAATGCGGTTGACACATGAAATATCACGAATTCTCTCTTTATTTGGGAGGATGCCCCATTCAGATATCACAATAGAGCCCATTCCGGGAAACTCGTACGTTTGCACGTGTTGATTAACTTCTCGACATAGCTAAGCTAGCATACCGGTCAAATTAAGGTGGAGGATTTATGCGGGAAGAGAGGCAACAAGAAGGTTGACTAGCCATTGTGCTTTGATGATAGATAGCAAGTCAAAATGAACCAGTTTAGTGTTTCGTTAAAAACGAATTACTTCGTATGGGAAACAAATGTCAATACAGCGCCACAAACAAATCTCAGGGGGCAACAAACCAAAAATGAACATTTGATCACATGAATGTAAACCGATTTTTAAAGCGGCTTGGCTCATGCATGAATATACCCATGAATTACCTATTACTATGGCATGACAAATATGACCAATGGATTGAGATGAAACTGACACAATAACATGTTTAATGTATATGAAATTAATTTTGGAGTCCAAAAATTACAAAAATTATAAATAACTGTTACTATTACTATTACTATTAAATTCTAACAATAAAAACTGCACCAAGATCGAGCGACCAGTCAATGAAATAGTCGTCGGCTTGTTGAGCTTTAGTAACCAAAGAGTCAATAACTTAACAATTCGATTTTCTGTAACTTTATTGTTGTTATAGAATGATTGCATGGGAGGAAAATACTCGGTTTCAAAGCCATTGATTAGTATAACTTCACATGCATGCATGCTAATCGATGGAATACAGATATTTACATGCCCTTATCTTTGGGTATTTCTGAATATTCTTGCTTGGATCGTTCGCCGAATGAATAAAAGCCATGTCGATTTCTAAGCCAAGCACGTCAATAATCGGTAGTTTTCCATTCCATAATACTGCATTAATATACAAGCATCACTGGCTGTAAAGAGATTATCCTCTAACATCGAAAAAAACTAGTAGTGAGTTGGATCTGGTAGAAGAAGCATTAGGATTAGTTATGAATTTTATTGAAAATAGAATTATCAAAGTCAACTTACATAGAATTGACGGATACGTATTCTTATCACTTTGTTGAATTATCGACTACAGCATTGCCTATTCACAGTACGAACAACTGATATATATAATAAGCACAGAAATATATCAGCCCAACCCATATTAAAACGGCGATCTCATTTCCTCTTATCAGCTGTATCCAACCAACACCATGTCTATTCTGTTTCCATTCTTCTAAACACCCTTGAGGATTTTTCATCACTGCTGTTCGTCCCCATGTGGTGATCGTCTGGTGAGTCATGGGGTTGTAAATCAGTAGGGCAGGTATCGTTGAGACCTTCCACTCGCGAACGAGCGACTCTCGGATCGGTAAGTCGTAAGGAATGTTATACCATGGCTTAGCATACGTGTATTCTTCAAACGCCGATTCAGAATGATCAAGCGAAACATGAATTACTGCAAAGGAGGATCTATTGTCTTCAAGAAATGCGCAAAGACGCTACAATAAAACCGAAAGTTGAGTTTGCAAGAGAACATGGTATATTATCGACATTTGAAAGACACAAGATTAATACTCACAGGAGCAAACAACCGACAGGGCGGACACCAGCTAGCTCCCACATAGAATCCAATAATTTTGTTTTCTACTTCACTTGTGGGAACTTTGTTTCCGTTGCAATCGTATAGGGTTATCCTTGACAGTATGGGGTCGTTCGCACAGTCTTTCTTGTCAGCGTCTAATGTTGGTTGTGATGTAAAATTAATCGGACATGTATCATCCGTACAGTCAGCAGGAGGGTTGCGAGTGATATTTTCTTCAGCAGACATGATGAAAATAGAGTGTGGGGAAGGGATGTTGTATGCTATTCTATTTAATGAACATGTATCAAATTGTCACACAATGGGCGCATATGGTAAAATCATTAGGCTTTTTGGACCAATAATAACACGATTATCCCAAACGCCCAAGAAGCGAGTTCGTTCTATCAATGGAACAAATAAAGCTTCCGTTCACAGATGCAACATGAGGAGCATAGAACATTAGCTGGTTAAAGAATTTTTTTAATTTTTTAATTCTTTCATTTTTTTTTATTAATTAATATTAATGCATGCAGTATATATGCTGTTAATAAAGATCGACTTCCAACTTTTTTTTTTTTTATAATGTAGAACTTTATTGTCTAACTACGGTTACCCGCTAGAGCTAGTATCGACTTCCAACTTGACGACTCGATAGTAGTAACACAAAGAATTTAGAGAAGATGGTTAAATCACAATATGCTGTCAATAATAATAAAGGCCCTACAATCACACTATATGCATGCACTTGACACGAGAAATAAATGAACAACGTAAAAGTTATATATTTTGTGCTTAATAAGTAAATAATAATAATATCACAACAAAATTCAGGTGATGTTTGAAACGTTTAATCTATGAAACTTATAGTTCAATCTGAACATGTTGGACAGACATTAATATTTGCTATTTCAGTTGACAACCAGAATAAGTTAATCTTGAAGCTATTGTAAATCTTATATCTTTGAGACTGGTTATGTTATTTTTTTCTTTCAAAAAGATAATGACTAACAAACCATTCATCACCATGATTATAATTGAACATTGTAGCAACAGCCAAATAAAATGTTCTCCATCTGTTAAACCACGCTGTTGCATTTTCAGTTCCTGAATGGAAGAAAATTTTATTAATTGACTATAGGCATACACATGCAAGCAAGTTCTGTAAATGATTCAATTCATACCATATGTTTGAGCCAGAATAGGAAGTGAAGCCTTCTTATTCTTATCTAATACTTTGAGCCATTCTTTTGCTGTTTGTCCATAGTGTTGCCCATTGACTACCCAGTGCTTCTTCAGATAAAGATCTTTTTGAAAATAGAGAAGCAAATCCTTTGATGGCATTGTTCCACCTATTCATATAGTAGAATAGTTTGCTTTAATAACCTGTTCACCACATTTGATAGAGTATATAATGTGACATCTTTGTCAGTTTTACTCAATTGTAATTACTATACCTGTAAAGAAATATGTTCCCATCCAACCATCACCTGGCACAAATCCATATGCCTTGTCTTTGTGACAGAAAACGTGAACAAATAGCAATCCATTTGGTTTTAACCATTTTGAGACTTTCTCAATGAGAAATTCATAATTTTTCATATGTTCAAACATTTCAATTGACAGTATTCTGTCAAATCTATGGAAGTGGGAGAAAAAAAATATATTTAGATATATGGGCACTTTGGTTGTAATAAATAACATAAAGATGACTTACTCTTTGTTGTCATCAAAAGAAAAATCTACTATATTTGCAGTTATTACAGTCAGGTTGTCAAAACCTTTTTGCTTTGCAATAGTTTCAATATATATTTTTTGTGAAGCTGAATTTGACAATGCTGTGACTTTTGCACTTGGGTATTTCTATTTAATAAAAGAATAGTTGACTGGTCAGATTACAATTGAAGAAGAAAAAAACAAATTTAGAAACATGGGAATATTATCAATCTATTTATGATTAATCACTTATTTCAAAAAAAAAATAATTGTTTACCTCACATAAATATAGACATAGACTCCCCCATCCACATCCTAAATCAAGCATGTTCATTCCATCTTCCAATTGAGCCCTCTCACAATACGCCTGAAGCATCAATTCTTCCGCCTCATCAAGAGACTCTTTGCCTGTTAATTGAAATACCCAGTTGCCATTAAATAGATATAATTTTATCATTATTCTTTGTAGTAAAACTTCTACTGGTAGGTTTACTGAATTTAAACTTGTTGCCAGTATTTTGATTACGTGCATTCTATGTGATATTACAATTCCTGTGTAAATTATTACATTTCCCCGAGACTCAATTACCATACAAATAGCAATACCACACAGAACGATGCATTACCATCGCTGGAGTAACGTTGATATTAATTAATACTAGGACGTGTAATTCGCCATGTTGAAAGCATATGGATTCTTGTTATTTATTGTAAACCATAAGATTAACTGGCAAATGTGTATGTTAGACGTTCTTAACGCATGTTTTGTGCAAATACCAATAATATCCGAATTGTTATTAATGAAACAAGACCCTGATAATTGTGAGTTACCACTATCAGTAAGATATGCGCGAATGTTTAATCTAGTCGAAGTTTGCAAGCTTTGCCATGACGATAGGCAATGTAATCTGGATGCGAATTGAGACATCCTTTATCTTTGGAACACAACGTAGTAGCTATCTCTAATAGTTTATAGATGGTTTCGCTCTTACCTGTTGGAAATAGGCAACAGGAATATTTCATCCTACTTCCAAGAGACAATTGCATGAATTCAGTAGTAACTTCATAGTGTTGTTGGTTGGCTTTATCAGTCTCAACCGCTATCGGACTCTCTCTCAACGTCTCTGCAAAAACCATTTTTTCTTCTTGGTTCTTCTGAACGTTTCCACATTCGAGATTGGCCAGCCTATCGCGTAGCATGATGCGTATGGCCATGGCTAATATTCTGTCAGGAATTAGGCCTCTGTCGATAAGTGGATCATACCATAATGAAGACATGGCTAAGAATGCTGCGATTGCAAAAGAGAATTGAGCTGAAGAAAGATGGAATAGATGGCGTTGATATACTTGAGTATTTGTCATCCACAAATTGTGGTCGCCCAATGGGAATAGTAAAATTGGTAAATGAACTGCCAATCAATCACAGACTGGATTTGGTGTTATATTAATGCAGAATGGTACTGCAGAGTAAATCAACATAAAACCCGTACAGACAGAAATATATATACGTCCAGGCTTATTTTGGGGGAGGAACAATTTAATGTTGCAATAATACATTGCATTGCTCAGAATGTGAAGCGATTCGGAATTCCACAGTGAATTAGGAGTCAGTTAATTTGTTTGAAGTAATAGTAAGTCTTACGAATTTGTTATTGTATTTATGCAAAGTGTTATCAAATTAAATTCATCGAATACAGAAATGAAGTAGACTCACTCCGATGAAATCGACATAAAGATAGATGTTTCTTGGAAGAATCTCGCGAGAGCGACTGTAACTGATCATGTAGCAAACCGCGACATCAGTAGACGAAAAAATCAGCACGACAAACGACACGACCATCTACTATAATCCAATTTAATGAGCTAGTATCTTCTATCAGACAATTCAGATTAAAGCAACCATTCAATAATTAGAAACAAATCGTTACTATATACAGCTTGGAGCCTTAGTATTAATACCATAGGTTCAATAATTAATCCGATCCACACACAAATTGTTAAAACGACCAACCGGTTGACAAGTTCAGAAACGGACATTCTGCATAATTCCGACCAAGTCTCTTCAAAGCATTTTTGACATATACGGCCCTATAAATTTCAAAATTGCAATTTATATCTACTCTTTCCCTTCTCTCCGGTCTAATATTCGCCTCCATCCCTGTTTACTATACTCTCTACTCATACGCGCACTTACCGTCTAAATAGTATCCCAATTTTGAATAATATTTTCTAACTCCAATTCCACTAATAACACTAATTTTCTTGCTTCCGTGTTCTTCTTTTGCTATTCTCTCTGCTTCTTCCATCAGTAGAGTTCCAAAACCTTGATGTTGAAACTTGGTAGGGTCACGGTTATGCATCGGAACAACCGATCCATATACGTGTAACTCCCTAATGATGGACGTTGGTGTAGTTGTGAGCTCTGGTCGGAATGTAGCTGAAGAACATTTGCGTAGGCGAAGAAGGCCAATTAGAATATCCTGTTGAGTGTCTTCATATGATAGGAAAGTCTCCCATCCATCATTAGCAACGTAGTCACGCCGAATTAATTCAACCTGTGACAATACAGACATAAGTTATCTATTACACAAACTACTCCCAAGGATATTGTCCTGGTCTTAAGATATAGAGCTTTGGCTACCAACTTGCTGTTATTAGCATTTAAGCAAACATACCTCTTCGGGTCGAACTTTGTTATGTATGTCGACAATTCCGACTTCCCTTGTCCTAACATCTCGACATTCAATTCCAAGATCTTTCATCCTGTTCAGCGCTAGTTCACGTAGGTTTCCATGCTCAACGCCCGATGTTACCAGTGGCATTGGAATATCGCTATAATAGAACAGGCAAGAGGAGTCATTATATCCCAGGATTTGAACGTCAATTCACCAGTATTTTACTAATCAACAATCTTATTTACCGCTGTACTCTATATATTCGTGTCCATGGAGGAACGAGAGCTAGTATTCTAGCAATAAGGTCAACAAGCGCAGCAGGTGCATAGTTTTTGTATCTTCCCGTTCGCCAAAGTTCATAAAGCCCTTAAGGCAGAAAATGCAAGGATTAGATGAATTTCATTACTGTTGTTAAATCCATGTAACGCTTACCTGTGCCTCTGATAACCAAAGTTGGATAAATTTTCAGACCATCAGTACGAAAGGCTGGGTTCTCAAAGTATTCCTGCGGAGAATGTGAAAGTAATGTCAGTTGGAGTAATAGCATTAACCATGGTTATTCTCTACTAACAAAATACCTTAAATTGCTCTAAATCCCTTTCCATGCCGACATTTGGTAAATCTGGCATCATGTGAGCAACCACTTTAAACCCTGAATCTTTTGCTAATTGAAATGATTCCGTTACAGCTTTGACAGTATGCCCTCTGTTGGTATCACGTGCAACATCTTCATAAATGCTCTGGACGCCTATCTCTAGACGAGTACATCCATATCGGAGCATCTGGCTATTAAGGGAGAAATATTATGAATTAATCCAACCGAAGCGAAAGGTAGAAAAAATGACGTCACATATTAAACACTCACCTCAAGTGAGGTTTGAGGCAGTAATCAGGCCGTGTTTCAATAGTAATTCCGATACATTTTGTCTGACTCTGCTCTGAAAATCTGATGTAAACGAAGAATAGTGTGTCAGTATATTAAACAACTTCAAGGGAACGTTTACAGTTCTTGATCTTGATTCTTGCATAATCTCGCAATTTGCCGCCTTGAACCTCTTCCGTATTGACTAACCTCTCCTAGACTCTCCTACCTCACAGATTCATCGACGTCATCAGTTGCGTGGCCCGATAATGCATTATGCAAATTCGCAATAAACCAGTTTTTGTAATCCTCTGGTAACGACATAAACGTGCCACCCATGATGATGTATTCTACCTTGTCTACGTCATGACCTAAACTTTTCAATTGATCGATTCGACCTTTGGCTTGCTCTAACGGATGATATCGTGCACGGATAGCTCGCATACTTGTGGGCTCATAGCCAGTATAGGATTGAGTAGAATATTCAAAATCTGAATCGGGACCACCTGGACAGTAACTAGGTGAATGACCCAGACGTCGTGGAAACGAGTTGAGCAAATGGTTAAAATATTCAAAGACATATTCTTCACGTGTATAAGAAGAATTCAACTTACACACAGACGTTGCCTGTCATTGCAATATGCGGGCATCGGTGCGGTTTACACATCACTGCTACCACTGCAATCTAATATTTAATGGCAATATCGTTAGCTTAAAGATCAGCTTTATGATCAAGCATAATTTTATAACAGCGTGACTTACACCACTTGCTGTTCTCACAGGTTTAGCTTTTAACTTTGGTAAGAGTGCCTTCTTGTATGCTTCAGGTATGGCAGCTATTATATCGACCAATTTAGGTTGATTATTTAATTTATTCCTCTTCGAGTATTTAGTCTTCAAGCCATTGAGATTAACGTCTTTATTGTTCTCATGTGCAGTAATTAGCTCGTTGACTATTTCTGCACAAGCCTTCACCATTAACTCTGTCTTTACAAAGAACAATATAAGGAAATTGGTCCACATGGGTATGCAAAGAATACACGATTGATAATACCTGAGTTGGGCCTTTATTTCATAGAACAAGATCCGATCGCAGAAGAAAAAGTCAATTGACTGTGCAATGTATAAAATAATTTTCCTCTACATCATATACTATATTTCATACCCTTCCTCTGTGTGGAAGCCATATTATTTGATGGATACGGAAAATTTAATTTGTTTGGGTTTTTATAGTGGACAGCATAACGATGATTGGCTGCTCATACATCCTGTTACATCATCATGATGATCAAAATGATATATGCAAACGCGTATACAAATGCAAAGACTGGTTGACATAATCACTATTATTACAATGAATCGATTTCGAAAATTCGCTGCTTCGAAAGTCTTCCTTGAACTTAACCTTCCACCGAGAACATCAAAGCCTTCGGGCTTGCCCTATTGGGGGTCGTATACAGTGTGTTACAAAAGTCTCCTAAGTTGAATAAACAAATATTTACAATTAGTATCGAGAATTCGATTTGTATTAACCAAAAAGTCAAGATTACATATGGCTTAGACATTTAGCTAAAAAGTTTAATTATTCTCAGACTTTTGTAACACACTGTATATCAATAGTATTAAAACATACGTGATGCTGAAAAGTTTGCGCGTGGGGTTTGATTTCAAAGTAACTATTTCGTTTCGTTCCTTTAATTAAACGTCACAGTCCTTATGACTGTCTAGTAATGTGATAGCAATTCTCCACAAATGCTTCAATGCTTCGATGGTTGAAAGCCATTTGCCACTACACTAACGATGATAATAATAAAACAAAGTTTGAAGGCGGATAGTGTTTAATGTGTAGTTGTTATAACAACACCTATTTTATAGCTTATAAGTTTATGTGATTACATGTAGGCTCGTTATCACATATTCTAATAAGCAAGCTAACGTTTATGCTCCATTAGTTTATGAAACAGGTGCTAAGCAATTTGAGGCCGTAGTTTTTTCCCTTCAAAGCCAGTTTCAGTTTGAAGTTTATATATTCTTACTGTGATATCATTACTCGTCACAGGGGCATTATTTTGTTGTAAAATAAACAAATTATGGTGTTAGATATCGGTAGTGTTACAAACATAGTAGTGGGAAGCTTTTTTAAGATATTACTTTACAACGCAAATTTGATCGGGGCATCGAGCTGTTGAAAAGGCCCTTGATTAATTTCACTACGTGATTGTCGTATTTTATGTACCATGATGTTATTCCGAAATGGTTAGCATTGAATAAATCTATTATTAACGTCATTGCAACTCAACGCCTTACAAAATTACGACGCCGGAGCACCTTTCAACGATTCACTTTGAACCCTGTCACAAACTTGATTTTTTACGCTATCAAGGCACAAACAAGCACTTTTTTAACTAATCTATTATAAATACTGTAACCCAGAAACTGAAAAACAAGATACCAACTGCATGTTAACGTCTAATATTAAGATTGCTTTAGAAGAAGCTAAGCCAGAACATGCGCCGATGTTGCTGAAGAACCTAAAATGTGCTTAAGAATTATGACATCTTCACAATGAAAAAAGTATGACACACAAGCCTAATAATGAATCAAGAATTGCAATTTTAGAAGCGCTTGCTGAACCGAAGAAAAAAAAAAAAGGGTTAATAGGCAGGCGAGGTTTCTTCCAGCTTTTTGAGTTGTATGTTATCTCACGTCGCTTACAGCTAATCTGGTTGCTTCTGCAATAGCAAGTTCGGGAATTTTTGTTATTGTGTTCCAACCAACGCAAGGTTGTGTCTAAGAATTGTTGCGAATCGGATTAGCATCACGCGAGACAAAAGTGTATGATTAGTATTAGTCCCCGTTTGGCTCACGATTTAGACATGGAGCGGCGCAGCAATCATGTGTTATTGAAGGTATATATATAATTGGTACGTTCATCAACAGAAATTCCAATAATCACGCTGCCCAAATTCAAGACAAATATGCCCTTACAGCTTAAAGTTATATTTGACCCACCTCTCTCCAAATCTTTCGAGGTAGAAGAACCAAAACTTTTGGCTATTGGTCGCGATGTTATGTCTGTTCCTGATGAAGAAATCGGAAAAGTACAAGGTTGTTTCTCTGGATGTTTTCATTTGGCAGAATGGTTAAATGACAAAGTTATTAACCAATCCTATCAATAATCATTCGTTAGCTTCATTCCAATTTTATTCGGGTGGAGTATCTGTCACTTCGGTAAATAGTAGTAAATAAGGTTTTAGATATGTTCACATGATATGGTTGGTTATAAGAATTCTCGTTAAATCTAGTTCGGTCCTATACCAATGACAAAAGGTAATGATAGTATACTATATCCAAAGGACGTTGAGTTGGAAGATGGAGACAGGCTTTGTCTGGTCAAGGTGAGAAAGTCTTTTCGAATTTTAAAGAAATGGATTTATTTCTTTTCTCAAAAGATTTGCGCCCATATGCTGCGTAGGGAAAATATCCATTCACAGTCAGAATAACGAACGTGTCGAAGCCTGAACGCATGACAGACGATTTAGTTGAAAATCTCGGCGAATCGTCAACCAAAGAGCTGTCATATGATTTTCAAGATCTTTATCTTGGTGATGAAGACGATGATAGTGCGGGAGGTCATAATCGAAGTATATTTGAAGACGTAACATTTTGGGATCGTATAATAGAAGCTCAAAGAACAGGAAGGCTACACGGTCGTAATGATGTAATTGCAATGGTCGAAACGGAAGAGGATGAGTTAGATAACGATGAGACCATCTCAACCGAGAGCAGCTATCTTGGTAGCTATGCTTCCTTTGATTCCGATGATGATGGTTCAGATACAAGGGAAAGGAAACGGTGGAAAGGAGATCGCCAAGCTGTAGCTTTAACCAAACCCATGATCTCACGTGTTGTACCTGAAACCGAAACTACAACTAGTACTAGTCAGGTAGTTATGTAATCAAATATGGTCAACTTTTTTAAACAGAAGGCATTATTAACGAGCTGTTTACATTCGAGCAGTGGGAATCGCAGCGATGTTCCGTGAACACGAATATATCGTTCGAAACCGTGACAGTTTCCACTGATCATGAATGAAAGAGGCTGAATAATTGCAGATGAGCTTGTCTGGTTGTCATTAAACAGAAGTATAGAATTTGCCGCCAACACGTTCGAGTATAATACAATAGCGACTCGACCCGTACTTTGCTAGACAATGGTTATTACATAAAAGATGAATTCACTTAAGTAATGACCACTATCATAATTATTGTATTTCTTATTGGCTTGTAAATTTTTGCATTGTCATTCCGCACGCAAAAGTTTCGATTATCCACGGCAAGGTAAATTTTGACTCACTGGACAATACTATTACTATATTCAGATAGATTGAGATCTTTGTTTACTAATAGTAATAGTAACAACTGTGACTTTGACAATATGCTGATAACTGAAGATATCCAGATATTGTTTAATGCGTTCCAAATCTTAATACATAAACCAAATGCCCATAATAATAATACTCAAAGCTCGTAAAGATACACCCATTCCGGAAAGATGAAACATGGATTACAAAACACGTTGCATCTCATTTAGTCTAGAAAAAGTTAGTATGCGTTTGGAAGGAGAGTTGTCTGAAGTAATAGTTTTGACACGTATTCTTGCGATGAGAGTAAAATGTGCTTTTGTTATTGTTGATAAGAAAACTGCTTTTGTGAATCGATTGAAACGCACCTTTAATATTAATATCACTATTTATATTTGCCCTCCCCTAGTACTAGAGGGAAAAAAATCAAATATCAAACAAAGCATTGATTACATATATTATTTGCAAGCCAGGAAAAGATTTCGCCACAAAATCTGGGTATTATATTGCTTCAATCTTCCTATCGAATGACACTCGACATACGAGCACACTATCGCTTGGGCTGTTTTCCGTACTCCTGTACTACTGAATATACAGTGTCACGAAAAAAAAATAGAAGCTCTTCGAACGCGTATATTTTATGCAATATAAATTAATTTGTTTTATATTTTAATGTAAACGCTTACGGTTGTTTTTAAACTGTCAAACAAGTTCAAACCTTTGTTTTGTTCAACCCTAGCTTTTTGCTGTCAGATTCGATTACAAAATATCTCGGTCAAATTTGAATACACATTGCAAGACTATTAGTAGCCTGTCAATAGTCCAGTCTTAAATCCTGTAGACAATTGGCCAAAATAATGTAAGAAAAGTATGTTGCAAACATTGTGGAAAGTCATGGCGGGTTATAATCAAAGAATAAAATTCTATTTCTTAATCAATTTGGTAAAATCGATAAAACAAAAACGTAAGCTAATTATGGAAAATATTTGTGAAGAAATATTCTATTAATTTATGATAATAAAACCTCTGCTCATAAGCTACTAAATAAAGTATAACAATAAAGCTTATTCATTACTCTAACCGTTGAAGCACAACAATCAATAGTTTCTTTGCCATTTTTTGGTGACACACTGTATATAATATACCCCTGTAAATTGCAAACGTAAAAAAAACTTGATGACCATGTAGTATTCGGAGAAGTTGGCACTTGGAAAGTACGTACCCAGTCCGGAAAGAAATTGTCGTAAGAAAGTTGTCCTGCCTCGTTACTGTTCATAATGTGAGTTCGCAAAAGTGATGTGATGTCTTCGCCTGGTTGAGATTTAGGTCGTCCAAGATTTTGATGTGGTGTAAATGTGCATTCCCCAACCGTACTCGCCGCAACCCCCAAAACCAGACCAACTCGCTTGCGTAATGTTATGTTTTTATTTGCTTACCTATGGATGTAGCCCCAGAAAAGTATCTGTAGACGTTCAATACCATCCATTTTTCGTTCGCTGTTAGTGGTGCGGGCGTTCGGTTTACACGAGAACTAGACATGAGGAATCGGCGAATTTTGCGAAAAAAATATGTCTATATGTAATCTTTTTACCATGTTAAAATGGGCTTATTTGGGTCATTGCATGTGGTTTTAGTATTACGCAAATAAAAATCTTTTAAATCGAGGTACGGATATTTTTTATTTTGCACCGGACCATACCATAAATCATAAATGTACACCTTTAGCGTTCAATCGTAGGTGTAAACAAATAAAGAACGCAAAACTCCATAAATCATAAATCATAAATCATAAATGCCTTGTATAAGTCATTTATAGATCGTCGTCTTGTCATTTAGAGTTCATTTATTAATAATTAATCTTTTTTTTTTCCAATTCAAAGCAGTTAGACTCTTCTGTTGTTTCGGTCATTGTTACTAACAGTGGCGCGACGAGTGTACAGAACAGCTATTGCAACTAGTTCCCGGTATTTATTCCGGCAGTCTTTACACAGAGATTTATGATTTTATATTATAACGCTTCTTTATAAGACGGCCAAGAGGGAAGTTTATAGCTCAAACTAGCAGTATTTAATGAAACCCTTTTTCTTTTGCTTTCGCCATCATCGCTAACTAGGCACGAAAGCTGTGGTGGAGCAAGCAACTCTATCTCCATAATTGAGTCTATACGTTAAATGCTTTTTCAACACATCGACAGTAATAAAGATTTCAAATTCCGAAAGCTCATCCTTTACGAACCACAGTCATTGCCATTACTTTCATACTTTATTATTTATTTCCGTTCTCCAAAGCGTCACGAGAACTGACGGCGAACATTCCAAAGACGCCGTAATCTCCCCAAAATTTTTTTCTCCATTCTTAATTACTTCCATACCCTTCTTTGCGGTGGTCCCAATAAGATCCTTTGCAGCCGCGAAGGAAATCCTTCCAGTATCCACCATCCTATCAGTAACAGTAGTGATGGCAGATGATGGACAACCGGCAGCTATGACGATATTCTTGGCATGCAGCTTCATATGTCCCTGTTGAATACCTTCTGTTGTGAGAGCGCGTAAGGCAGCAAAATTTTGGGCTAGTCCCACACATGCCATTGCCTATTGTAAGAAAAATATATCATAACCGCGTTTTATAAAATGCTTACGAATCACATAGTTGCCTCATAAGCTCACTTTACCAAACTTACCATAGCAAGCTCACTTGAACTAGGGTTTCCCATCAATCCCAAATTATACTTGTACACGGGATTGGTCGCCAGGACACCGCCAGCAGTGCCAACGCATATAGGTACGTTTATCTCTCCACATAGATACAATCCTGTATCATCTCTTTGACCATTCTCTTCCATTCTATCCTCCTTTTCAATCCAGTACATGGTTAAAGGCTCGTATCTTTCGATATCATTCCTACACGCAGCCCAAGCATGAGCCCCCGCTTCAATGGCTCGCCAGTCTTGCCCTGTGGCTAGTGCAACAGCATCAATGCCGTTCATGATCCCTTTATTGTGTGTTGTTGCACGATATGGATCTATCTGTGCCATTTCGTATGCTTGAACTATACCGAGGGCTACGGATCTGCCAGTGTGGGTTTTATAACCTAGACTCGCTACTGGGACACGGAAAGATGCCTGCAGGTATAAGAAATCATGAGAATACTGTTCAGACCTCTTAATACACGTCTTGTAAAAACAATAATAGTTTTTTTTTCGTACCTTAACAATTCTTTCCGTGCTGAAATTGCTAACGATTCTCAGGCTGACTTTCCCACCAGTTATATCTTCTATTTTTGTCGCTATTCCCTCTGCAACTGCATTAGCGCAATTTGCACCCATCGCATCACATACATCTATTTGTACGTGAACGATTAGCCATTCGGTGAAATTCTCTTGACATAATTCGACATGTCGTGGATGCGGGTTACGTTTACGACGAATACGTCGGGTGGTAATATTTCTAACGCCGCCACCGCGTTTGATCATATTCGGAACGAATGTGTTTGCAAGCGAAATTATGGAATTTTTGTGGGTTTGAATCTATGAAATGGGTAGAATAAGTAATGTGAGAATCTATGTTAAAAAGGAATACATGATATGAAGATGATTGTTAATGCAGATTCGACTTTTTTGCTACGGTCATTACATTAGTGATGGCATCGTCCATTTTTGATTCTGGAATATTTGTTACTGCTATCTGAGAAGTTATCATGTTTTTCTCTGGAGCAACTGCAGTAAACTTTTTAATTGTCTTTGCAGCTCCTGAAGCGGCGGCTATTACCGAAGGTTCTTCTATTGCCATTGGAATTACTATGGGTTTGTCGTTTATTACAAAGTTCAATGCTAGCCCGACTGGAAGACCGATCGTCCTAAGAAAAGATGGCCATTAAAGTTGAATAACAATATCGTTAACGAAAGATAAAAATTAATATTGATAATTACCCGACACAGTTTTCAACCATATTATCTGCTATCTCTTCACTCAAACCACGAATAGGGAAATCCGATATTGACAGTTTAGAGAGCTTTTCTTCGAGCAGCTCAGGATTAACAGCCTCATTATTGTTTATGTTATTATTTTTATTATTATTAGTATTATTACTGTACGTAGGATCTACTTCAATAGGGGAGCGACAAGACGACGTATCTGGAGTTACATATACTGACTGACTGTTCATATCAAGGCTTATTGTCTCTAAAGAATTTCGACCAAACACTTCGGGAAAAGCCTCAATCAGTATGTTTTGTCGCTCCCGTAATGTTCTTTTGTAAAAGCCAGAGGCCCAGGAACGAGAACCTGTTGTTATAGGAACATGATTGCCATAGCTCACCGAGCAAGGTAATGTGCGTGGTTTCATTTAATGTGACAGATTAAATTAAAATGGGTGCTTTTGTTTGGATTATGTATGCGAGTTAAAAAAGATTTGGATATAAAAAATGTCTCGAGTTTACGTTATATACTTGTTGCTGCAAATACAACAGGGAAACAAATGACTAATATTGCATTTCAAAGTTTCATAATCTGTCACAATTATCGTAGATCAACCAACCAGCAGAAATATTGGTGCTGTTGCGTAAACCAGTTATGCCAGAGAATGAAGATAAATGACAGTAAAATGTTTAAATTCCGAATGGATTATTGATAAAGCATGTCAAGATAATAGTAAGGTATGGAACACCTTTACAATAATGAAAAATTGGCTGCGCATCGATTGTTTCTTTATTAGGTTAATAACGCCACATAGTGTATACATAGCACATTAGCCACAGCGTTGTCATGTGAATGATGGAAAATTTTCGCGAATGAAAACCTTTCGGGTGATCGAAAGCAGTTCCTTCTCTTTTGTTGTATGAGCGTTTGCTTCATCCTTGTCGGTAGGTTGCTGGTATGTATTATACATAATTAGGAATTAAGCTTTGTTTAGGCGGTGTGTTGTCAATTGTAGAAAGCAGCGAGGTCAAGGTTTTCTGACCGAATGCAAGACAAATTCGCAACATTCGATCACCTGGGCCGGTTCCGTATACATGCTGTCTAACAGACTATTTGTATTAACGCATTAACGCCATTCTGTCATTTTCTATCCTTTTTCCCTTTGTCTCATCACAAGACGTCTGCTAAACCCAAACAATGGCTGTAAAGAAATCAAAGAAAACCAGCGAATCAATAAATTCACGCCTGGCACTTGTCATGAAAAGTGGCAAATATTGCCTTGGCTATAAATCTACTCTAAAAGCTCTCCGACAGGGCAAAGGTAAATGTTAGGCAGAAATAATAGTAAAAAAAAAAAAAAATCTATGAACGCCATTAAAAGTTGTCATGCTTTTGTATACGATATGTAGCTTATATATTCATTTGATTTCGTTTTATAGCTAAGCTTGTGATCATTTCTGGTAATTGCCCTCCGCTTCGTAAGCATGAATTGGAATACTATGCCATGCTGGCAAAAACTACAGTACATCATTATTCTGGAAGTAAGTTTATCAATATCGATTCAATTTCTGCGCGTTTGCATCTCCCTTATTGTGCCAAATTCTGTACTTGTAGACAACGTTGACCTTGGAACCGCATGCGGTAAATATTTCCGTGTGTGTGTGCTGAGTATAACCGATCCAGGTGAGAACATAACTCTAACTTGTTATTAAAATACTGATGCATAATATTTATTATGATTAAATTTTTTTTCCAAAAGGTGACTCGGATATTCTGGCTACTCAGACCCAATAGTCTATTATACGTTATATGTTGTGTGGTTTGGCAGCTCAATAAATAGCCGACAATCAATTAGGGATAATGAGTAAATATAATTAATGAAAAACTACAACCGTATCGGTCCCAAGTCATACAGGCGCGAATTGTCGATCACGTGATATACAACACTCATTATCTTACCACCTAGTAATCCACAGCCCATCCATTCTTTTTCAAGAAATCTTCAATAGCCTCCTTCAGCGCCAAGTTAGGATACAAATCTTTGTCTGAACACTCTTTGCGTGATAAGGGATCGAAGTGGCCTATCTTCCTAAAGTGTTCATTTAAGTGTGCTCGCTCGTAGGTTATACCCGAGGGTGTGATTACGGGATCATGTATTACGTTGAACGATATTTTGTCTAAAAAGTATTCAGGAACTTCGCGAGGCTGCAATTCAAGGACAAGGTTTATGGAAAACGTGAATGGATAGGAATAGACAAATGAGCGATTCCGATGGTATCTGGAATAATATACTTACCCCCATATTTTCATCTGCCTGGGCAAAAACCTGCTCAAGAGCCGACAACTTCTCATCATGCGCTTTATTGATCGCATCAAGCCGGTCAACATCAGTAGAGTTACTGACAAACTTTGAAAATGTAGCTGCAACAGGGTTCTTTCCGGCCAATACTTTTTGGAGTTGTCTACAATATGACATTCAACGTTAACGTCCAACATAACATTTATCATATAATTTGGTGGCGAAATTTATATTTACCTCTCCCGTTCTGTATTAATTAATCCTTTGAGATACTTTAACAAATCTGACTCTCTCTTGTCTCGCTCTCGCTCTGACTGTTCCCATTTCTTCTTGCGGGCGTTGAGTAGTGCTTGAATTATATCTCCCAGGTAAGTTACATTTGCTTTTACTGCTAGCTCATATGCTAGAAGCAAAAAAAGATAAGCGTATGGATCGGGATTCATTATTACGAAAATAAATAAAGCGTACCTTGTTCTAGTTCATTAACCGCTTCATCTGTACGTAACTTCTCTGTGAACGCTTGTCCCAGCTATGATCGTGTAATATTGGGTAAATAAGAAACAATATTACACTTGTTCTATCTCTCCGATCATCGTACATTACCAGATAATGTCCTTTCACTACAACCAAGGACAACGAATTAATATTTTATCTAAAAAAAGCACCGAATCTGTTCAATCTTTATTACTCACCAGACTTTGGATCAAACTTATTTGCTTTCTCGCAATCTGCTATTACATGATCGTATTTTTTTAGCTATAGTTTTGAGAAAGCCAAGAGAATGTAAATGAAAAGCGGGAAAAAAAACCAGGCGATAAAGATAACTTGACGGATCTGTCATCACCACGTCAAAATCGATCTACTCACTTTTAAATAGCATAGTGCTCGATTTGTAAAATAGACGGAAACGGCCGGATTTTGATTCTGAAGCAAACAAAGACCAAAAAGAAAACAGAGAAATGTTAGTGATAAAAACTTGGTATGCTGAAAACGCTTGGTAACCAACTACAGGCACTATATACTATCTGGAAGGAGAGGTTGCACAATTGAAGACCTCGCGAGGTGGCATAAACGTAAGTGAAACATAAGGATACTGATGGAAGAGAGAGAAAGAGGACGTGTGCGTGTTGGTGGGGGATCCATGCGGCGGCTAAGAGAAATTTACTTAACGGACGAATCATTATGTGCTTAACTCTCATTCCGCCAACCTTGTTGCTTTCACTTTTCCTCATCGCTTCCAACTTCTCCTTCTACCTTATTCATCAATAAGCAACCCGCTCATCTAATCTATGCTTCTCATCCATATGCAATAATAACGTAAGCAATAAAAAAACCTAATAAATCATTGTGTTCATTACAATTGCAGCTGTATACTCTTTTATTGCAGCGTCATAGTCCCTGGCACTGAAATATGCATTCCCTCTTGTCTTGTGTACTTCGGCTGCGTGGACTTGGTTGGGTGTTGGTTGAGTTGACATTTAGATGACGCGAAGAATGAGTTACTACAATCGTTGTGATTAAGCCTAGTCTTCTTCACCGCAAGCTTTTCAGCAGGTCAAAGTATAACTCAAGTCTAATTTTATACTATCAAAAATAGTTCTTTGGGAATATGAAATCAACGGAAAACCTCGAAATTTACTGTTGGCACATTTTCAAACTCCTCAATGTCACAAACAATGCGGGATAATTCGACGATATGCTATGACGTGTAATAGTGCAGATGATGGCGTAATCGCTTGAGAGTATCGGTAGGCATTCGGAAGTGGAAAGACAGAGAATGTACTAGAATTATTCAACGGCTCCAAAAGAATAAAACCTCGATGTAGAACGCCCCAAATTCTGAGTCACGTGATATACCATACTCATCCAGGCTTTGCTTAAATAGTTTGCCCTCCCAAGATTTTCTAGTTCAATATCAAGACTTTTATAACGAAACATCCCACAAGTGTGCATAAGCACGAGTTTATGAAGTCAACGAACCAAGCCACTCAGCTCTAAGACAAATTTAAAACCACAATGAATCAATAGGAAAGGGGGGAAAGAATTAGCCAAGCCACTCATTTACCTTTAAGGCTTAGCTTGCGCTTAGCCATCTGATAAATGTATATAATTCAGTGGGCAGTGCCAAGAGAGAGAATGTAATTCATCCGTGGCTTATCCTTATTTGGAACAAAAGATAGATAGGGGTTTTGTTATTAATACAACTCTCCTCCAGAAAAAAAAGCAACTATTTGAACGCCAATATCCTAAAAGCACAGCTGCGATTATTTCTTACAAGACGCTCGTATCGCAATGCACGATAAACTAGAAATTCCTATAACTAAAATCCAATGGAGTTTACGTGGGGCACAGATTTTCTTTGCCTTTTTTGCAATGTGCACTATTGCTGCTGTTATATCGTTTGATAACTCTCACACTTCCAGTAGCATTATGGCGAACTTTGATCTCTTCATAATCCTAGTCTCAATGCCGACTGCAGCAGCGATAGTCGTTATTCCACACCTCTACCTGAAATACGGCAAATTCAAGACGTTTGCGAAAGCGATGCGACACCCTAGATATGAATTCGTGCTATCGACAATATGGGCCGCATTGTTGTTAATATGTTCGATTGGACTGAGCGTGGAGTTTGGAGTAATAAGGGACTGTAACCCAGAAGATTACCCAGAAGCACTAAATAAAAGCGGCGACTCGTTTAGGAACGGCCTACTTAAATCGTGCACGACAGGGAAAGCAAGTACAGCTTTTGGATGGTTTGCTTTGGCGGCGTGGTTAGGTTCGCTTGGTTTGCTTGCCAATGATTGGCGCAATAATAGACGACAGCCCGCTACCAAAAACGAAAGTGGATGGTTTGCGTGGTTAGGTTCATGCTGCGGTAGTAGACGACAGCCCGTTGCCAAAAACGAAAGTGGATTTGATGATATAATGCATTCTAACTCTACGAGATCGTCGTTGGAAGATGGAACAGTAGGATATCAGGATAAAGAGAGGTTTCAAAGTATCACTGCGATAGGAGGAAGTGACACCCCGCCAGTAAGCGAGTATAATAAGGATTACAACAGTCCGCCGATTCATTTATCGCCACCGTTAGCTCCGACACCTCAACCTATACCAGCACCACAGCCCGCGAGTAGTCCATTACAAATTCAACCACCCCCGGGAGCAGTTTCTTTCCCTGAACCACAGCGATTCTAAGGGTGCGATGGAAATTTGATTTTATATTCGGGCTTGTTTTAAATAGTAGAGATATTCGTTTGATTACTCATGTGTCTGCTAGCAGTTTTCTTTTTGCTAGAGAATATATATATTTCACTAACTACTGTTACGTTGTTTCTAAGTAGTATGAACTTTCTTCCAATCGTGTATTATAAACCTTTTCTAATTATTTGGAAATAACAATATATAAACGATCAAAGTCTCATTTAAATCGTAAACTCAGTTCCCGAGCACAGAAGAGGAATGTTGTTAAATACCAACACATTTTTCAAGCACTATTATCTAACGATGAGTTCTCGTAAACCACATCGCTTGTGCAAAATTAAGCGTATCACGGGATTGCCCTGATTATAGTAATTATAATATCGTGGAGTGAACCGCGCGCGCCCACCTTGTCGTATTTTTTTGGTCGATCGTTCATACAAGGCAACTCCTCCATCTGTAAATAGAACAAACTTCATTGATCCCTTTTCGGGAAAAGCATATGCCAAATCTGAACCTTATATTAATAAATTTGCTGAACAAGAACGGATATTTTACGGACTACAGTTCTATTTTATTTGATGTTTCCAAATCAAGAACTAAAAACCACATGCAAATGCACTCATATAAATTACGGGGGCGAAGTTGGTGTAGAAGAGAGTCTTTCAGATTAATTGATAGAGAAGAAAAAGTAAAGTACTGGATACTATCCTTATTATTTGCTATTATAGAATACCATTATGTTAGGAAACTTGGTTTCAGAAGAATGGGTACGTATGTTTATATTGGTTAAGTCTAGTTTCGATATTTTTAACCCAAAGGTCGACTCCCTTGTTGTAGGGCCAATTCATATCAGAACTATCATTTGCAGACGTGTAAGTTATATTTTCGTTCAAAGTCTGTAGTAACGCAGCCAAAGCTATTCGCGCACGCCTTTCGGGTAACAGTGACAATAATTTGACAACACACTTTTTTGTTGCTAATTCACTATAGAACTGTCGCAATACCGGCAATTCTAGTAATATACGCAGTTACTCCAAGTGTGTTATACACTATGCGACATCGAAGTAGCCGGGGTGGATGGTACATTCCTCCCAAGCCTCTTAACGAGTCTTCCTCTGTGCAAGCGAAATTGGTTAGTTATCAAGAAGAGTGGTGTTGGTGACGGCATTAACCATCGTTTAATCAATACGTTTGCTTGTATCTCACACAATCTTTTGTAATACTAGTTTTTGCTAAATAGTTTGGCAGTTCTGTTCACTGTGAAATATATTGCACAGTACACGTTTGGCCATTCGGCACCAGAAGTCTTTGTCACTGGAACTCTGCTAACAGTCGTGGTAAGATTTATAGAGCTGGAAGATTATGTCTGTGAGAGAGAGTTTGTGCTGTATATGTGTGTGGTATTTATCTTATTACTTCCACAGCATTCATCGGCGCATTCTGAACTCTGTACCCGTTCTTCTTTTTGTAGTTGATCACAGTAATCATATATCACTTTGAGAACAAAGGAATAGTAAAACCGGCCCTTCCGTTATTTTACGTCTGGGGGGTCTCGACAATTGTAACGTTGTATTACTACACATTAAAATCACATGATGTCACCCAGGAAATTTACTTGGTCACAAGTTTGCTATTGTTTTTGCTCGAGTGGGCATCACCACATTCCTATTATAGTAAGGTAAATATCAAAGAAATTTATATTAAACCCGAATATATGAGTATCACATATCAATTTTCACCCTCATCTTTCTGCGCTAGGGGAAATCGATAAACGAAACGGAAGCCCACGCCAAGTCGGAATAAACATAGAACTATACACGTATCAAATGAAAAGTCCACGTGAATACACTAGTCAGCCAATTAAATGAAGTTGAATTTATATTATGATAATTTCAAAATCATTCTTCCTAATTCTTCTGACCATTGCTGGGGCGAGTATCTTGAATCTGAAGTTTAAGCTTCTGAAGAGTTGTTCCGGGGAATACGATTCACCGATTTTGGCGATAAAAGCACTACATAGTGATTATTTTGTTCCATCATGCCTTACATAACTACTAATTATAATAAGAATTATCAACATTCTACATATTTGCCGTCATTAGTTTATCGCAAACCTTCTTTCGCGTAATCCCACAAACTTCAAAGACAATGAGTTCGTTCAAATACCAATCAACTTTCTCATTAACCAATGACTTCAGTATTTAGAAATATATGTACGTCTTTGTTTATAAAGTGAAAAGCTTAGCGGAAATTTCCATTGTTATGGAAGAGCGCCTCTGCGTCCCTTTGAGAGGTTCCTCGACACAACCCACGTCGATACGGGCAATAGAATCCTGTTTACCGCACTGCGACTCACGTATAAATAAAACCAATGTTTTTCTTAGAGAAACATCACGATGAAGGCATATCACCCTCCAATGCAAAGACTCTGAACCGTTTCTTTGTTATTATTATATGAATAGAATGATATTGTTCGTTTGTAAACGCTCTTCCACCAGAGCAAATACACCTGTAATCGCGCTGTAGTCGGGAATCCTCCTCTTAACAGAAGGCAATATTTTCTTTAGAAACAGTATACAGAACGTGAGATTAATGTAAGCGAGTGAACGAGTGAACAAGCAGACTTTTTCATATACACCAATCCGTGTTTTCACAATTTCTCGGCATTTCTCCGGTGACTTTATAATTTGAAAACAGCAACAATTATTATGGATGATATTCTGTTAAATATGCCTTTTGCCTTGAACTTTTTCTATATTCACGCGTTGTGATACCTTTGCCGTAATGGATAACTTTTTTACTTTCAAAGATTAGTGTTGACAGAGAAGCGTCATTTGACAATCTCAAATGGAATGGGGTTATAAGTCTTGATCAGCAATGCACCAACCTCTTGACTTCCCGACTTTATATAAGTCCTCCGACAAAAAACCTGTCCCAGGTTGATAACGAGTATTGGTGTAGCGGTGATGTACATAAATATACTGAATCATCTTGACGAGAATATCGAAATTACTATAATTAGCCAATATTTATACGTGGATGTACTGTATATTATTCCCGCACAGAAGACAGTCGCCACATGCCCAAGACGATCTCTATAAATAATTAAATAATTAACGATATATGATATGCTTTTTTATGACAATGTGTTACATTGCACATTATAAACTATAACGTTTATAAATAATCGATTAAAAACATAAAAAGCAAAAACGGTTCTCTATAGTTACACAGGACTATACTAATATACGAAGGTTTATGCGAATCGGAAATATTACCATAAACGCCATATGCTTAAACTCTACTGATTGAGATGGGTTTCCTATGTACAGTACAGACATGTTGATATCAATGGAGGAGAGACTTGTGTCAATTTACTTATTCCCTTTAGTCCTTTACAAATCAGTCAACATATCGACTGTATTATCGACTTTTTAATCAATAGTTACAGGATTGGTGCATCATTCCAGGGATGCCGTTCTTAGAATCTAATGAATACCACGTTCTTTCAGGATACTTCATCCTACGGTAACTATAGGCAGGTAATGAAATTTGTAGAAATACAAAGTCTATAATCGTCAAACTATATTCACGCGTTATTAAGCTTTGCTCTCTAACTTCCTACCATAAACCTCGGAGCGATAAATAACAGCCATGCAAGCTTTTAAATAATTAATTTTATATCATACCTTTTGGCTACCCACATTCTTCTCTTATTTAAGTTATCATTGACCTGCTTAATTTGAATGAAGGGTAGATTATTCTGTAAAATGTCTAATTATCAAACACCTGTGATAAAGGTTTAAATTCAGAACGTGACTTGGTTCCATTCGACCATTCTAAACAATTATGGCATACATTCCCAATAGACCAAATTGCGTTGTCTACTGGGATAATAATAAACACCGTGTATCAAGGATAAAGAACTAATATTGGATGCGATGTGAATTGGTACTTCAGACAATGCAATTCATCAGTCTACGGTGCAAACGCAAAAACACTGATAGTCACAATATGTTGGCACTAGGGTGAGACCCTGCTCGCTAATGCTAAGCGCAAGGCAGGTATATAGGATGTGAATGCCCGAATTAATCTTGCCCTCGTGGTAGCAATATCCGACAATTCTAGTCTGATACTTCTGCTGTAGGGCTTCCTCTCTTACACGCGTCGATCGGAGGAGTCGTTTCGAAAACGTTTATATCATGCCAACAACATTAAATTTGGGATTGCTTCGTTTTGTAGACTGTGATTTATTGGAAATTGTTCAAATTGATAGAGCATCAGCAAAAAGAAGTTGTTGGGTGTCACCGAGAGCTATGACAGTTGGCTTGCTCTTGATGGTCTTCTGAGCGATCTGTGTAGTAAGTGTATTAGTTAAGTACTGAGATAAAACAAAAACCTTAAATTTACGTGAAACTATTTGGGCACTTACATTCCGAACGTCTTCAACCTTGATATTCTTAATTTGCTCTATAGCACTAGCGATGGAACTATTCTTACCATACAGGGCCTAGTCACGACAAGGCAAACAAGCAAGCAATTACGTCAATTTCAACAATCCCAATCTCGCTATCTGTTCTCAATATGGTTCTTACCTGACTACCAAATATTTCCGCTTTAGCAGACCGACTATCAAAAGATGCTGCTGCTTCAAACGCAGCCTTAGCCGCGGCTCTTTGTAAATCTTCCTTCCCAATTGTCTCTGTCGCAATCTTCAATTGCTCTACTGCCGCCAATGCAGTGGCATTAACCGACTTTGGTGATCCATATATGTACGCACCGAATAACCCTGCGTCGGAGTACCCGGCGTTGAACATACTAACTTTAGTGCCGTGTCCCAACTTACTGATGGTCTTTGCTAAAGGAGAGACGCCTTCGCCCCACTTGGTATGCTTATCACCGTCAATAAGAAAACGTAGGACTTGTAAAGAGGCAAAGTCGGACGATCCAGCAGATGCTCCGGGGAATGCCAATACAAAATGAGCATCAGGTAACGAACTGGTAATCCTCGCCTCACCGCCGAAATATTGAGTAGCGGTCGGAGGAACGGCAGTCCCGGTCGGTAGATCATGTAAATACTCTTCTGCTAAAGACTTCAGTTGATCGTGACCAACTCCAGTTCCTACAACAGTCACGTTATCCGCGGTATATACTCTATCTGCAAACGACTTCACTACATCTACATTTGATACTTTTGAGATTTCATTAGCAAACAAGGAATTTCCTAAACCGTTCCGAAATGCGACATTATGGGCGGATTCCAAGGCAGAGACCTCTGGAATGCTATCTGCTGTGCCCTTTTCAAATTGTATTTTCTCTCGAATTTCAGAAAATTCCCACGGCGTAAACTTTGTCTTTGTAACAACATCGGATAAAAGTTCCGCAAAGAAAGGACTTTTTTTTATTTGGAAGGCAATCGATTTGATGGAGTAAGTTAATGCAGCGAAAACATAATGGGACGATAAAGCGTGGGGGGCGAAAAGAGGGACTTACAGATCTTCCCGTAGAAATTCAGCATAAAGGATCAAATATTCTCGTGTCAGATTTGCGGATAAAACTCCACCACAGAGTTCAGCTTCACGGATTTGACGTAGTTCGCTGCGTTTGGCTGTTTTCTATATGTTTTTTTTAGAGAGCATAGCTGATAACTCAATACTCGTATAATTCCATAACCCTTCGAAATAATATCAACATAAACGTCTCTCCGTAAGAACAAAAATGCTTAAGCCGTCTTTCCTTAATCCTATACAAATCTCTTCCAATAAAATACCTTAAACGCAAAGTTTTTCAGATAATGTGCCACACCAGCGTTCTCGGACGTCTCAAACCTCGGGCCAGCCTTCACCACAATAGCCAGAGATGAAGCGGGCGCAACATCTTTATTAATGTTAATTATCTCAGTTATTATGTGACCTAAAACGTTAATAATTCACTATACTCGTCCAGATGAAGTTCCCGCCATTCTTCCTCTACCTCCTACACTGACTACATTAAGGCCAGCTTTTGTCTTCGATATTTGTACAGGCGGAGAATCGACAACAGTTGCAAGATTACGTCTTAACAAGGAACTCGTTAGTCGAGTTGTATATCTGCCTGTACGAAGCATTTTTTTTTCTTTTTGGTTAAATAGATAGTGATAGCGCGAGATGGAATAGGAGATTTCAGAGATTTTTTTTTCACGTGATTAGATGATGTAACCATAAAAATAGGCTAGAATTACAAACGAATACTAACGCTGGTTACAATTATCTTCGTAATTCCTGAAGCCATGGCAAAAAGTAAATCACTTTTTGTTCCGAGTTCTGAACATTAGCAAGAACGTGTCTAGGTACACCTTTAGCGTTCAATCGTAGGTGTAGACAATAAAAGAACGCAAGAACGTGTTTAGACGCTTCTTGGACTTGATCGTTTGATTTTTAATAAGAGTAATACTGTCTATTAACCTGCTATTCTTTTATGACGAAATCAAAGTATAGTCTTACAAAATTTATGGTGTCTACTAAATGCGGCTTGCTGGCGTGGCCGCTTTAATTAAGGCGTCAGCTAATGTCGAAGGCGGCTGCGTGCATATTAGTTATGCGTAATATAATTAGTTTATTTATACTTATTCATGTAGGATACAACCAGCACTCGGGTGGTTAGAGAGTTGTAGAAGACGTGCTGGTTGTTATAACAAACGGATACGAATTAAGAAAATTACGGACGCAGTAAGTAAAGATTATTTATCGACGATTATATAAAATCACATGATTATGTCATAATTATAATACACATAATTTATTCAAAGTGTTTATATTAATATGTACGTATGTTTATTATTAATAACATTAAATACAATCCAAATTACTTTGTTTTAATTTGTCGAAATGTTGTTTTTCAGCTTTTTTTTTATAGATTTTAATTTCTTTTGTCTTTTTTCCCCGCTATTATAATTTTTATTATAAGTTTTATTAATTATTATCTTAATTAAATAATATTATAGTTATTACTACTTAAAAGGTGGATAAATAACCTAATTTCAAACTGGCATGCCAAGCAGCAAACTCACCTTTTACCTCTAACCAGCTTAGGGACAGATCCTTCACAAATAGCTAAGTAATCACCGAATCAGTCCCTCAGACCCGTCCACTTCCCCAATGTCCCATTGGATCTGGTGATCCCGGCAAACCGTCAGTGAAAAAAAAGGGGGAAGAGCAGGAGAAAAGAGAAAAAAAAAAAAAAAAAAAAAAAAAAAAAAAAAAAAAAAAAAAAAAAAAAAAAAAAAAAAAAAAAAAAAAAA